TGGTTTGCGTATAGCTTTGTTGGTTTCTGTTCATTTCTTTGTACTTTTGTTTGTTTGTGTTATCCTTATTTTCCCATGACCTTGGCTAAACTTGTTATTGTATCAACCTCTGTGTTCTTTTGTACCCAGTTACTTGTCTACTCTAGTTTTGTATTCGAAGTTCACTTGTGTATTTGTGTGAACTTTTGTGAATAGAGTTAGTTAAGGTTGTTGGGTACACTGCACACACGTAGTTGATTCTTGTATTAGTCACACTAGTTTAGTACGGGTGAGTGCCGTTTGTGTTGTAGTCAGTGGAGGTTAGCTAGGGTGTTGAAGATGCAGAAGACTGTTTTGGGTTTTCTTTAGTATTCAGGTTAGCTTTCCTTCACTTTCTTAGCCAGCTCCATTTTGTTTGTTATTTTCTTTTCTTTGGCACTACTCTAGTTCCTATACCCTGTGTGTTATTGTGTCCAATTACAAACCAGTCACTTGTTCAACTTAAAATCATCACTTTTGCACCGACCCTTGTTATCACACTTCTTAGTCCCTCACCAGAACCCACCTGCTTCCAAAAATTATCCTAAATGTTACACCCCTTTACCCCTAGACACTTTGGGTCATAACAGGCATCTTCAAACACCCTAGCTAACCTTCACTGACTACGCAAAGCCATACAAGACAAAAGGCACTCACCCGTACTAAATAGTGTTACTAATACAAAATCAACTAAGCATGTAGAATGTACCCAGCAACCTAAACTAACCCTATACACAAAAGGTCACACAAATACACAAGTGAACTAGGAATACAAATAAGGGAAAACAAGAGTAGTCAACAGGAGCAGGGTACAAAAGAACACAAAGGTTGAATATATAAAACGTTACGGCAAGGTAATAGCAAAACAAGGATAAACACACAAACAAAAGTATAAGGAGACGAACAGGAACCAACAAAAGCCGAAGCTATATGAACACACACACAGCGAAACTAAGCTGAAGCAAAAACCAAAAAGCGAAGCGAAGCGGGACCGAAGTCAAACGAAAGGCTCCTTCCATCTGAAAGCTTCCATGTTATATAGTGAATAAGATGAGTTCTGATTGGTTGAGACGCTGTTTGAAGATGATGTAATATGGAAACAATGATTAAATGATGGACCAATGTGGGATGGAGAACAATTAAAATCAGAAGTGTGGAACATAACAACAAAAACACAAGACCACACACTGGGATGTAACAACCAGTAACAAGAAATCAAAGCCCTACCTTCAGTATGAACAGAGTTGGAGTTTCTTAGTTTCTATTAACACTGCATTACTGTATGAGGAGCAGTATTAACAATGTGCTATGTGCTGCAGAAAGTAACATTTGTGGTGCTTTCTTTCCTGAGATAAAACCATTTTTGGGGGGTGAGGTCATGTCCTCACTCACCTCCTTTACTGTAGAATGGGAAAACTGACACCATCTCACCTTCTGCTCTATCCCTCTGTTCCTGTCCCATTCCCAGTTGATGAGCACTTCCACACTTCTAATGGAATGTTTCTAACTGTGTGGTAATTGATGGGTCTCTAGGAAAACAGTGTGCCAGTCAATCTGTGATGATTGTCATCTATTGTACTGTTTGGGTGGCAGGAAGCCTTTATAGGTAGTGGATGTGGACACAAAACAGAAAAAAACACACATTATCTAATAAAAACATTATTATATTCATAAGTCAAGTAACATTTGTTACTCCATGAAATTTACCATAGAAGAGGTAAATAACATGCCCCATGTCATAGATCAAGCTCTAGCAATACTGGGTAATTTCAGCCTAACTTTTACTAAGATTCTAGAGGGATTAGGACATTTAAAAATAAATAATCAAAAACTGATGGTAGTTTCCTACTTAGAGTTGGAGCAGTACCTACAGATTCACAAATCTGTAGAAAGATTCAGAAAATCACAAATGTAACACTAATCCACAAGAAGAGGGATAGACGTGAACCAGTAAAGTACAAACAAATCAGTTTGTATTTTGTTACTTGTTAAGTGTCTCGTTACTGGTAAAGTTATGGAAATTATGGTAAGTGCCAAATTATAGGGATAATTCAAACAAGCAAAGACATTAGAAATACATTTCCAGAAAGTATATGCAAAGATCCCATATGAGGTTGATTCTCAAATCAAAAACCATAAAAATCTAATGGAGTTTACAGTATGAGGATTTAGATTTGGTTGATAAACAGGAAAACATGTAATCAAACTGAGAAGTGGTGTACTGCAAGAATACATTTTAGGCACGTTGCTATTCCTGATCAATATTAATGGTATATATTAATTTATTCACATTATAATTACCACATTTACTTCATGATAGTAAATGAATATTTACTTGTGTCTGATAATATAAATGTGATTTAATTATATGACAATGATGGAAGCTATTAGGTAGACAACAACACATTTATAGTCTATGTATGTTAACTCTGAAGGTATTAATTTTGATCTTTGTAACCCTGAGTGAATAATCAGCTTTTGTATCACAAATACTGTATAAGTTTGTTGTTTGTTATTGCATGTTTTTGGGTTTATGTTGATAATGAGTATGCTCTATATTTATAATTTGTGTGTGATACTAAATTATATTTGATTGGTTCTTAAAAGTCATCAAGTACTCTCACAATTTACTGTTAAGTTCTGAGTATTACAGCAAACCCCTACTACCTTCAACCACATCTAGGATACTGTGAATAAATACTGAATAAAATAATGATTTCTTGTCTCTGGGAACTGTAGTATACAGATGAGGAACCTACTGTACGTTAAATGTTACAAAGGAGAAGAGAGAGAAAATGTGATACAAGTACACAAAATCTTAAGGGATAATGATAGGTTCATCTCAGGGTGCCGTTTCACACTCAGTAGTAGTGGTAACAATTAGAAATTAATAAACAGCTGACTTAAATTTAGATTCAATAAGCCACTAAACTACCAAATTAGCAAAATGTGCCGAATAGTCCTCTTATTTGCAGTTTTTTATTGCACTCTTAAAAACATAGGATGCCTTGGTCCACAAAACTTGGACTATCTAAACCGACATTGTGTAACACTGATTTCTTATCTCAAACAGTACAGTATCTGCTTGAGGATTCAGCTATCAATTAACAACTGATAATAACTGACAGTTGACTCCTCTCAAGTAGATACTATTGACTTCCTGTGACAGTCATAAAACTGTCTATGGTTTTGAACCTAAAATGAACTTGTCTGGAATTGAATGGGATTGATATGGGACAAGTTTTCCCTTCCAGCGTTGTATGATCAGACAACACATTTCCTCTGAAATGAAGAGAAAATTGTTTTAAAGATTCTGGCTAATGCTAGATGACACTACTAGTTTTAACAAAAAATGCCCTGATCATGTCACACACCTGCTTGTGCATTTTTAAAATAAAACTGAACTTAAATCCTGGTTTTCTGAAAATAATGTAAAAGATGAGAAATTTATTCTCAAAGTAAAATTACATATTTTTGTCAAAATGCTTAACCATTTCCTGCATAGTGGCACATTGGTTAGCTTTGCTGTCTTGAATCACTAGGGTTCCTGGATTCAATTCTGGACCCAGAGTGCTATCTGTGTGGAGTTTGTATGTTCTCCCCACTTTCGTGTTTTTGCACAGTACTATGGTTTCCTCCCACAGTCCAAAGAGATAGTGTCACTCTGGTGTGAGAGTGTGCATGTGTGTTTCTTGCTATAGACTGCATCACATCCAGAGTGTTCTGCCTTGTACCCATTGGTTTCCAGGATTGGCTCCAGGCCACTAGGACCCTTTGACTATCTAATACATTTGTAGTGTGTTTAGTTTTGCTCTTTGGGTTTGCTAGGGTTCAATCACAGTCACTTACAGGCTCAGAGTAGACACAGCACCGTTCTTTAGACAGCAGTGTACTCTGCTATGCCATAAAACACGGCTTTCTTTAATGGCAGAATTCTACACTAAGTTTCAAGGGAGTGATGTCAATTTTTGCATATTCTGTACATTATGGGCTATGAGAGATACTGTCAGATTCTGATACCCTATGAACTCCATGACAAGCCCATTAAAATGGAAATGTTCAAAAATAGAGTACTATAATAATGAAATTTAAAATTACTCATGAAATATTCTTTTAAGTTAGCTTGTTAACAAGTTATCAACAGTGGTGACTGAAAATGTATTAAAACCATTTTACAGTAATGTTATGCACATCAGGGTTAAATGTTTTAACCCACAGTAATTGGCATTTTATTGTGCTAAAATGTAATCATAATGTATTTAACTAGGAGTTTTTGTCATTTATCTACAAAAAACACTTTATAATTTATAGTCAAAATGAAAACAAAATTAATCAATCGATCCATTTTCTTAACACCGTATTTAAGACAGGCTCACAGAGGAGCTGGGGGCTTATCCTGTAAAGCACTTCACTACTTCTACTTTGTCAACTGACCCTCTGAATTATAAATACACAAATAACTTACCCTGATTCAATATCTGGTAGAGGTACCTCTGACAGAAATTACAGCCATGAATGTTCTTGCATAAGTCTCTACCAGCTTTGCACATCTGTACACTGTAATTTACGCCCACTTTTTATTTTCCAAAATTGCTCAAGCATCACAAAGAGGAGTATGACAACTTCAAAAGAATTACAGTCTTCTACGGCTGAGACAGGATGTGTTAGGTAATGCGATTTTGTGATATTATTATGTTCATATACATGTTTGGTTAAAAATAAATCAACAACAAACCAAAATATAAATGTTTTTCAAAAGACTTTTTTAAGCAACTTTATTTTATTTAAGAAAACGTATTTGAAGTACACGCAGTTTCATTGTATTCAACCAGAGACTTTATATAAGAACCAAAGGTAAAATCAATTCATACCCAGTTTTCGAAATCAGAAATCCCAAACAATCCCACACCACCGTGTGCATCGTTGTAACAGCTAACCAATTGCATTGCAGAGTTACAGTATATCACGTGAAAGTACACAGGCCACATGATCTCCAGTGAATCACATGAGTAACCTGGGCTTTCTAGCAGTGAAATAGCTGCAGTCTATAAAGGGAAGAGGGTAAATTTAAATGTATTTTTTAAGAATGTATTATTTTGTAATTATATATATATATGTATAGCGATATTTACTGAGCATTATTTTATTTAATTTGTTCTATGATTGTAAAGATACGTTACAAGCTTTGAGTTAAATCTGAAGCCGAACTTTCATACCGGACAAATTCAGCTATTTAAAAAAAAAGATGCAGAATTCGCAGGGTTTAGTTGGAATTTTGTAGTTTGTGTTTATTTAAAAAAAAAGACGATAAACATTTATGGAGAATGTTTTTCAACTTAGTATAAAAAGGTGGATGTTTACGAAACATAACATTTTTTAAATACTTTTTATTGTTGGTGTTGATGAAGACTATGCTACAGTACTGGCAAAGGCCTTTTATCCAGATGCTCGGACAGTTGTTTGACGTTTGTTGTCAAACATTTAGAATTCATTAACTTGAAAAATAACTTTTAATATAATGTTGTGTTGTACTTGTGTATATTACGTGGATAAAAACGTCATTTGAGTGATATCACTTAAAAAAAACCACTTTAATGTTAACTTTGAAGGTTATAGAAAAATGACCATACAACAAAGCATGTTAAGCGGTCTGATTTCTTTTTCCAAGTAAAACTGAAACAGCAAGTTAGAACCTACTCACAATATCCTGGTTCACATTCTCCAAATTTATAAACGAGTGGTAGTTGTTACACCCATGACCTAAATAAACATAAACCGAATTACACTTCATTATTTTCAGATTATTTACCACTCCATTTTAACCCTCATTCTCATAAGGGGCTATACACCCTTATTGGTATACGGTGGATTCAAAGTGCCCCTTATAAAATTAATATGTGTCCCTTACGATGGACTGGGGTCCTGTCTAGGGTGTTCCCTGCCTTGCACTCATTTCTTGCTGGGAAAAGCTCCGGCTCTCCTGCAACCCTGTATAGGAAGAAGCAGTTAGAAAATGGATGTATATCAATATTATCATACGATGAGGCTTGTTATCCTGTTCATTATTTAGTTTGATCCATACTCTAAAGGCACCAGAAACTAAATAAATGCTGCTGTTTTTTTTTCTGAAGCAGTTCAGTGTAGAATTGGTGATGAAGGTATTATTTAGTTTGACCTGGTACAAAGTTTTTTGTATTCACTGTTTTTTAAAAAGTAAAAAGAAAACACTTTTAAGAAGAGTCCTTATACTTCTAGTATTGTTCACATACATGATGGCTTGTAATCAATTTCAGGCTGCTTGTTCAGCTTTGTTTCAAACTTATTCCAAGATTGAGGCAATAATAATAAAAAATCTTTATATTCTCCTATTACTTTAGTTGGTGGATCTTAAAAGGATGAAGGTTAAAGAGTTGCATCAGTCTGCCAGACTATATTATATATATCGGACTGCCAATAATGTTTGTCTTTAGCAACAAAATTTATATGCATGGCTCAGTTAAGTAACATTTTTTTTTCTCCTTTGCAGTTATTACTTTTTCTCTGAGAAGAACATAAAAATGAGACTAGTAATTCTTGAAGATTATGCCTTGGCCAGTGAATGGGCTGCGAAATATATACGCAACAGGATTATTCAATTCAGACCTAATTCAGATAAATATTTTACATTAGGATTACCTACAGGTAAGCTATTGCCTGCAACATACTGTATGCTTCTCTTGTTTCCACAAAGGAGAAGTAAAAAAAGATAAATGTCTTTAGTATAGTATGTCCATTTCAATGGATGCATTCCAACTTGTGCTAATGATAACTGATGCACCACAATATCATGGAAGAATTCTACATTCTACACTGATTCAATTATTTATTTCGACCTAAATTATCCCACCCATCCCCAAATGCATCACTTCATGGTTTATTTCTGGAAAGCTCTTTATGATAGAAAATCATTAACCGGTACTTGTTTGAAAATATGCAATGTTATTTCTGTATTTTTCTGTTTAAAATTAAAACCACAGACTGAAGTTTTTGTTTAATTTTGCCTTTATAGCTACAATATGAAAAACAATTGTTTCCTAAATGGGCATGCAGGTCAAACTGCAATTTATCTAGTACCTGTTCTTTATTTATGCAAGTTATGATTTACTTAATTACATAAGACTATACTAGTTTTACATGTCTAACTTATGCTTTGTTTAAAAACATTCTCTGATTGTTTAAAAAACCTACAGGGCAATTTGTTTTGTTTTTAGGAAGTACACCTTTGGGTTGTTACAAAAAATTAATTGAGTACCACAAAAATGGAGATCTCTCCTTTAAATATGTCAAAACCTTCAATATGGATGAATATGTAGGTAAGTAGATTTTTTGTTTGTACTGGTAGACACCTGTCCTTTAAAATAAGTTTGTGCTTAGTCATCACTCTTACAGGAAGGGCATTTTTGTAACAATGGGATATGTTTTAGGAAGCTGGTTTGGTTTCCTTATGTGACAATTTTAAACACGGCATTAATTAGAAAACTTAACAGGGTGTGTACCTGGCATTTAGAAACGTCTTTTTTTCGGTGCATCTTTTGAGTCAAACAAATTATTGGTGTTAAAATGGATCATTTCATTCCAGATTAGCTAGAAAAAGGAGGTTTTACATATTATGGTAGCATCAAATTTGAACTAAGGTTAATTTTGTTGGCAAGGTCACTTTTTCTTCATGTTGGTGATCATGTGAAGAAAACATTTTTGAAATTATTTACATTATTTAACATTTGTAATTTGCATTTCTCCATTAATCGAAGAAGCCCCCCGATTAATGTTTCTGTTGAAGTCTGAAATAGTGAACTATTGACTCAAAGTTGAATTGTTATGGAATGACACTAGACATGTTTTGACATATAATAAACTGTAATTTGTTTTCATAGGTCTTCCTCGGGACCACCCAGAAAGTTACCATTCCTACATGTGGAACAATTTTTTTAAACACATTGATATTAATCCTGCCAATGCCCATATTCTTGATGGGAATTCACATGATTTGCAAGCTGAATGTGATGCATTTGAAGAAAAGATTTCAAAAGCAGGTGGAATTGACCTTTTTGTTGGAGGTAGGTTTTGAGGTTTTGTTACTGTTGATTTGATGTTTACTTCAGTATAATATACACAGAGAAACTTTAAACGGTCTTTTAAGGAAACGCATATGCTCTTTTCTAAGTGGTACAATTAATTTTTAAAAACTGAAAACTGCAAGAAAATATTATATTACTGAACAACCTTAGGCCATGAGTTACACATTGTATACATTTCACACACATAAAAGAACTTTGAAGGTGTAGCCATGGTTGAAGTCTTTTGAAACTGAATTACTGTTAGTGAAGTCAAAAATAAACACTAGAATGTGGGTGCAAATCTTGAGTACCACAATCCGTAAAATACTTCACCAAGAAAAATTCAGAGGCTATACTGCAAGGTGTAAGCCCCCCATCAGCAGCCAAAACAGAAGGGTTTGATTGGAATTTGCAAAACAAAAATACAGAGGTGAGCTACAGGAGTTCTTTCCATAAAACATTATTCCAGATGAAACCCAAATAAACATCTATCAAAGTGATGGAAAGGCTAAAGTGTGGAGAAAAACAGGAACATCCAATGACCATACGCATACCACTTCTTCAGTAAAGCATGTTTGAAGGAGTATCAAGGCTTGGGCATGTATGACTGCTTCCGGAACAGGCTCAATGGTCTTTATTGATGTCTTTACTAAATATGTCAGAAATATTATGAATTCAGAGATTGCAGTTTTAAGTGAAATGTTTCCTTGGATGCTCAGTATACAAATAGTTAATCGTAATGTGGTTCTATGCATATTTTACTGAGCTGAAGCCTTTCCCGGCAAACAATGGGTGTGAAGCAGGGCAGACCCTGGACAGGACACCAAGCAATCACAGGGCAGACACAGACACGTACACACTCACAACAACGCCAGTATTCAAAGAAGCCAATTCACCTACCGTTATGTTTTTGGACTATGGGAGGAAACTGGAGCACGGAGGAAACCCACACAAAAATGGGGAGAATACACAAACTCCACTTGGATCCGGAATTGAACACAGAGTCCCAATGCTGTGAGGCAGCAATACTAACTACTTTATATCTCATTGCGTACAAAACATTTTACCCACAACATGAGTTTAAGGATAGAAGTAAGTCTTTGATGTAAATAAAGTTTAATGAGTACACATTTGTATGCACAATGTAATCATTGCACACAAGATAATAATTGTGGTAGAGGTAATCTATTGGCATACCTCTATGTGGTAATAGGTGAAGTGTTTATTATTAGTGAAATTATTCTGGAACTGAGAATGTAAAATATCTACAGTGCCTTACAAAAGTATTCAGACCCTTGACTAATTCTCTCATTTTACTGAATTACAAATCCTACATTGACATTTTGTCCTCTGTCAAAAATTGACCCCCACAGCTAGAAAATGTAATATGGTAGGTATTAAAAAAATGAGGAAAGGAACAGATAACAAAACACAGTATGAATTATTTTTATGCCTTCAGTCTTTATGCATGACTTAGTGGAATGAGACTAAATTCACAGAGTACTGAATTACATACTGTAGATAAAAATGTTAAGGTTAAACAGAACTGAAGTTTTCCTTTTGTAATTTTGTTTTAGGCATTGGACCTGATGGACACATTGCTTTCAATGAACCTGGGTCCAGCCTTGTGTCTCGGACCCGCGTGAAGACTCTAGCTAAGGACACAATAGTAGCCAATGCAAGGTTCTTTGGAAATGACCTAACCAAAGTTCCTACTATGGCATTAACTGTGGGAGTTGGAACGGTTATGGATGCAAGAGAGGTAAATTATTAGTCTATTTTGTTTTTGTTTCTGTGCAGAACGTGCTTAACAGTTCTGCTGTCTTCTCATCCTATTGTATACATCACCTGCATAGCCAGTTTCTATGCTTTTGGTATATGAACATAAGGATATGCTAGTTCAGGGTATCTTGCATATGTATTCATTACACAATACTTTTGTTGTGGGACTAGTAGAATTCCCCTTAGTTTTCCTTATGTAGTGTATAGCTAAATCATTACATCACATGCATTAAGATCAAGATAAGGTCATTATACAAGTGGTTACATTTCACTTGGACTCTTGCTCACCCACCCAGTTATTTGTCTTATTGGTTGCATTCTGGTAAGATTTTTGCTCTTCTGGTCAAATTCCACTTCAAGGCTTAAGTCACAAAATTGATTGCTTCTTATTCTGAAATGGAGAGGAAGTGTTTCAAAAGTCTTCAACTCAGGGAGAACTGATATCAGTGATGGGGAAAGCTCTTGTTGTTGCCACCCAGGGTGGTTACTTGGGATTGGGGCCATAAAAAATTATGACGTTTTTTTTCTTTTAACCTGTAGTTATATTATAATGTGTTTCAATAAAAAAAAGATTATAATATGTCGCTTATAACTTGTCGTATGCCAATGTGCAATCTCTGGCTGAGAAGAATTGTCTTTCAAAGTTCAAACTGTTTTCCTCATCTTACAGTTTAATTGTATTAAAATATAAATAATCTAATTTGAATATTTTACAAATAGTGAAAACTGTTTGGTCCATTTATTGTCCATCCAAGACCAAATAAGGACATTTTCTTTTGATAGAGCACTATGAATTTAGCTGTTATTTTTTTGTAGTTTTATGTATAGAATGTCCTTTTTTCAAGAATTAGTGTTGTATCATTGGAAATTCAAGATATGTAGATTTTTCACATTTTAAATTTCACTAATTTTTAAGGTTTTTTTATACATTTTAAATTACTTCAAATGAAATTTATTTTTAGGTAATGATTTTAATCACTGGGGCCCACAAAGCTTTTGCCTTATATAAAGCAATTGAAGAAGGAGTCAATCACATGTGGACAGTTTCTGCATTCCAGCAGCACCCACACACCATTTTTGTCTGTGATGAAGATGCCACTTTAGAACTGAGAGTGAAGACTGTCAAGTACTTCAAAGGTGAGTTTGCCTTAGCATTTATACATATTATTCTTGAGTTTTAGGTAAAAAGAGTTATATTCCTGAAACAGGTAGTTAATACTTCTGATATTAATTCATAATTAAATCTATGAGCAGTTGTAGATTGACTTTCATGTTTATTTTTACAAAAGAACATCAAACGTAAATAAAAAGTCTGCTGTTGCACTTGCAGGATAGAAATACGTATATGATGACTCCATCTGAGTAAATTGCCAATTTCTAGTCAGTGAAATTAGTATTTTTTCCATAATTATTTTTGTTAACTTTAACTTTAAAGTTATGCAGAAGCAGATTTAAAGTGACTTGTAAATAATAAATGTTACAGAGTTCTGCTAATACCAAGTGCTACTTTTAAAAAAGGGTAAAAGCCAGGTAATTACTGTGTTTTTTTTCTTTCAAAATATATTTTAAAAGTGTGTATATATGTGTGATTTACATATCTGTTCTTCATTCATTTTTCTTTTTTAAGGGTTAATGCATGTACACAATAGGCTTGTGGATCCACTGTACAGTATGAAGGACTACAAGAATTGAAGAAGGATTTTAGTTCCTCCTTAGGTAAATAAAGGGGGGAAAATATGTATTTTCCCTCAAAAGACCTATGCAACAAATAGTGAACGGTGAAAAAATGTCTATGTTCTAGAGTAACTAGCTGTCCTGTATAATCACAATATAATGGGGTCAAGGGATTTGTAGTACATATATTCCAATTGTGAGTAGGATGTGTGTATTGCTTTATAAAACCCATAGTGCATCACTCATTTGTTAGTGTCTGCACCAAGATGCAATGTCTATAGATTGGAGTGTAAAACATGTTTTACTAGCCTTGTCATATAACACAGAAAAGTAAACTCACAAAAAATAGCATACATATTTCAGTATTTGTAATCTTTGTCTTATTTCAAGTACAATATATTAGAATGAGCTTTTTCTGTCTTTTGAAAAGTCCAATTGATTAAACATTTCTGACTTTGTTTCTAAACTATTACATACCTTTGTGCTTCTGCACATATGATCTTTTTTTTGTACAGCACCTCCCATTGGAGCCAGACTTGTTTCCTGTTGGTAAATTGATATGGTGCATTTCCTGTTTAATACCCTGCTGTAGTTTATAATGTAGGTATAAAATTACCTTCACAATTAAAATTGTAGAAAAAATGTTCAGCTACAAATGTCAAAATAAACTATAAAGTGAGTATTCTGCAACCTTTCTAGGAATTATTGAGAAAAATGCCCTTGGTAAAACAGCAACACTGATATTGTTTTGTATTTAAAAAATAGTTCAAGCTGGTCTTGTTCCATTATTTAATGCAGCAGTCTTTAAGATACACTCCCCTGCTTGTAAGTACTTTATATAAAGTCAACAGGAGCCCTACTGTTTTTTACAGTGTTCAGAATGTCTTACTGTTTAACATTGAGATCATATTTGAATATATTTTTATTTTGCTTACAAAAGAAGATGTGTGTACCCTGGAGTGTTTTTCAGCATAGCATTTATAACTAAAGAGCTTGTATATTCTGTTTTTCATTCTTAGGAAAAGTATTGTTTACATTCACGATAGCACAAAATCGAACACTTATTTTAAATGTATGCTTTTTATTGAACTTACAGATGCAGATTACATTAAGAATTGTTCACAAACTTAAAATTATACAGTTAATAAAGTCACATCATTTCTGATATCTTTTCTTACCCTTTCTAGTAAAAGTGGAAAAGGTTTGCAAAACCCCTGCAGACCCCTGTCTGTTTTTCACACTTGCAACTAATTATTTGCCACCCTAATAAAGTAACTCAAGATATTTTATTTTGCAGCCCTCTGTAATTCTGGCCCTTTATAGTAAGATTCCTTTCTAAGTTAAATCACACAAAAAAGTTATGTAACTGTTTAAGGTCTAATATCAAGGTCTAATATTTGTATTATAATACCAGTATACATCAGTTTGATAACAGAAGTCATACTTTTATCATGTACTGTATTTGAATAACAAGACATACATTTTTGAATGATTGTCATTTCTTGATATAAAATATTAAGAGCTTTAAATAGAAGGCATGCAGTAACTGCTGAGACCATGCTTTGAGATGGTCAAGTGGGAGAAATGCATATATGCTTTACAAATCATAGGCCTGGGCTTTTAACATTGGCCATTTATTTGTTAACCTTTGAGCAGTATCACTAGGGACATTCACATAAGTAGCCTTTTTGTATTTCTGATGGTCTTTGGTATCTAAATGATGTTGAGAATTCAGTTGAGCATGCAGAAAACTGAAATATGGGTCCTGCTGTAGCAGTGCAGAGGTGCTTTTGGATGCTTGAAAAACATTCTGTGCTATTGCTCCTTCCATGGTTGCACGATGAGGCCAAAACCATAAACTAGACTTACTGTATGTACATACCAAATAATAGTAGCTTCACAATAGTAAAAGAGCCTTGTGAATAATGACATTTTTCTCATTACTGCTGTCTTGAATGTATTCTGCCTTTTAGTTTTCATGTGTTTATAATTACGACCACAGCTGGAAGGCCAAAATTCTTTCGCTTTTATTTTAAAATAAAAATGTTTAGAGCTCTATTCATTATTTACACAAAACCTGCCTTTAAGATCATGCTGAATTGAGCTAAACATGCTACCTATAATTATGGCTGTGACTTGAGCATTTTAAATGAATGAATTGATTGCCAATACAACTTCATGAGTAATTGAAACCGTTGATCCTAAAAGGAAACATATTGTCTTACATCAAGGAAGTGTGGAAATTGTAACTGCAGAGGATGTGCCGCATTACATAAGAAATCTAGTGTATTTATCATTACCATCAAGGGAGTCTTAAAAATGTCTAAACCAGGTTTCTTCAGTTTTGGTGCCTAGTTGCTTAGGTGTTCATTTACAATACTTCTAACACTTGTTGTACTGTAGACTTTTAGGACAAGCTTAGTTTGATCGCAAAAGTCAGCCCAGGTGCACCTAAAGAATAAAGTGCCATTCTTGTTTGAAAACCATACTATCATCTGATTGATGCCTGTAATCTCACATTACTGATGCTAAGACCCTTATTACTAATAAGAAAATTGTTTATGTTGTGTGTAGTGTTTGTATTGCAATTGTTAATAAATATTATTGTGCCTGAATTATTGCTTTTTTCCCACCAAAACTGTGCCAGAGAACTAAACATGCACATGCCTCTATACTCAGCTATTGATCAAAACAAGTGTCTGTTTTATATTAGTTAATTAAATTCTTGGTTAATCATTTAAGAGCCATCAACAGTCCAGTAACACTAAAAAGACAGGGAAAGAGAGGGAATGACACAGGACAGACAGAAAGGCATAAGGAGAGAGAAGTGAGAGTAATGATTGGGACAGGCGATAGGTCTTTGTTCCAATCATTAGATTCGAGTAAAGTATTTGAACATTCTTAAGAGAGTTTTCTATTTAGGAAAACTCTTTGATTTCCTGTATAAAGAATCCCTAAGTTAAAAACTCCTGGTTAGTGGATGCATTTTTAGATTAGGGATAGATTTTTTAAAATCTCCAGATTTTTAGAGACTTAACTGTATGCCTGATTTTGTTTAGCTTAGAAGGCATGTTTTTCTTTGTTGTTCGCCTTTGTAGGAGTGATATAGGATCCTTGAATGTTGTATTATGTGCTGTGTTCTTAGTGTGAGTTACTGTCATTATTAATAAATATTTGTTTAACCCATTGTGCCTTATTTATTGCTCTTTTCACCAAAGCTTACCGGAGAAAAAAGAATGCCTCTAATTATACCAATTGCACCGATATATTCTTGGCAGCATATCTTTTACAATTTAGGGTTTATGATTATTTATACTAATTATTTTCCTGCTTGGTATGTAATGCTCTATTTTTGTAACCCCCCCCCAAGTAACAGAGATGAATCCTTTTCTATTTGTTATGTCTTATTTATCCTGACTAAAGGCCTAATATCTGGTTACTGTAAAATGTTATAAATTAATTAATTGATTTAACGGAAAAAGAGTTTAGCTAAAGCTATTAGTACATTTATTTGCACATTTGATCTTTGATCATTTTGACTTGCTTCAAGTAACCTGATTAAATAATTTTCCAAATGCTTAGAAATTGCACATTGTATTATGTACAGTCAACTCAAGAATTATTGGCACCCTTCATGAAATTCAGCAAAAATGATGGTATAAAATGAACAGTACACATAATGATTCAAATGTTCTGCTCAAATGTTTGGGGAAACAACTTACCTTTGCTCTCATAAAGTTATTCATTAAAAAAAATGTTTTTTGAGTAATAGTATTTTTCTCAAATACATAGGGGGGTCAAAAGTATTGGCATCCCTAAAGAATATTTAAAATAAAACCAAACAAAGTGGTGTCTGTTATGAAATTCTATACTTTTTAGTTGGTCTCAGTCTCCAGGAACTCTATTGCTGCCTTACACCCGTTACGATTTCTCTGGGGTATAAATATGAGATTGCAGGCATGTAAAATCTCTTTGTCATCCATCACCATGGGTAAATCCTAAGAGCTTTCAGCTAAAAAGAGACAGATGGTTGTTGACCTACACAGATCAGGTAACGGATATGAAAAAATACAAGTTTCAAAATCAACTGTTAGACACCACCTAAATGTCAACAAGCTCTTTGGAAGCACCTGAACTTTGCCAAGTGTTATAGGAACTACAATTGGAATTGTGTTGTGGTCAGATGAGACCAAAATTGAACTTTATGGCCATGCACACCATCGGCATGTTTGGTGACAAAAGAGGACTGCATGCAAGGAAAATCACCTGATACCCATAGTAAAGTGTGGTGGTGGATTGTCACCGGGAGGGCAGGAGGGGTGCCAAAGTGAGTCCTTTTAAAACAGAATGATGACTCAGCCGCAATTGCACTTAGGTGCAAACGTGATGGTTTCTTAGGACAGTGCTCCCCACACTTATATATAGCAACAAAAAAAAAACAACAAAATGGAACTAGTACACACACAAAAAAGCAAACCCTTTATCTAAGAAATAGAGACCAGGAGTCCTACCACACTTAGGTCCTATCAGCTCCCCACTGCAGCTATAGCGAGACTAAGCCCTGTTAGATCTCTCCCCCCCTCCAAAATAGGTACCGTATAGCCCTGCCCCCTCGGACTGTACCACTGTTACATAATTCTGGAGCTGCATTTTCAAGATAAAATAATTTCCCAACATGGCAATTCCTTAATTCTTTTAAACAATAGTGTATACAGAATGTACAAAAAAATACCAATCCTGAATACATTTTACTCATTTTTAACCACCTGTAAAAATGGTACGTCCTTTACCGGAAGATGTGCGCATGCACCACTCAGCGTTGACACTACAAAGCCAAGCTGAAAATGGGTATCGGGTTTGGACCAATGAGACCACCATACCCGGAAGTCGGACAGCAACACGGAAGAGACAAACTGACAGAGCGCTCTCTCACACAGCTAAGTACAAATAAATAGAAACATAACGACAGACCTACAGAGTTTCCTCTAGCACTAAAGAAATGCTCACTGGACTTAAATTACACTTTCCTTTTTATACATTAAAAGTAGGCAAGACTTTAAGATATTAAAGGAACATACAGGAAAAGGGGCAGTGTCAGAAGTCAAACAAACAGGACAGGAAGATTCCATTTGGCATTCTGCAATCTGTTTCATTTCTCTCTGGTTGAATGGGTGCGAAGAATCACAGGCTTTAAATTGCAGAAAGACAGAAGTCTTAGGTTCGAACAGAAAACCCTTCCCGTGCATAGTAACTGCCTTGACCTTTTCAGTCTTCCACACAACCCATCCACTCCAATCATCACTTGATCTGTGTGTGCCCTGAAAATTACCGAATCAGAACACATTCCTGGTTCACTCTGCACCACTACGAAGAAGTCTATAAGAAGCACTTAATGCCTACATCCCCACTATTTTGCACACATTCTAAATGTATATGTAATTTGCATTTATCTTGTACTGTGCTTGATACTGTTATACTAATTTTATTTAATGTTAATTATTGTAATGCTCTGCACCTTTAATTGAAATTTAAGTTTTTAATATTTAATCACCTAGTTTCTTGGGTCTGAGGTCCTAGAGCAAAAGCAAATGACCAAAATGCTGTGAAGATATTTTATAATTCTAAAATATAAAATGTACTTAGTTGCGTATTTCTTTTATGAGTTACACCTCATCTCACAGCTGTAATTCCTACTTTTCTAATCTTTTTAACCATTTAAAAAAGTCTTTTGTTAGTAATTTATTATCCCTAATAAACACATTTTAATAAAATGAAAATCTTGACGTGGATTCATGGAGATCATCACTAACTTAGTTGGTATGAATGTTTTGAATTATCATTCATTTTATACTGTCAAATGCATGATTTTAGTGACTAATATTTTATGACATAAATCGTTAATATGACGTAAACCGTATGTTTTTCATGTGACCAACACATATCAACATTAATTGTTAATTGGTTTCACCATGTTGACATGGTGGGGTGACATGGTGGGGGCACAGGATTCGGGAATAACGCCTCATGCAGTTGGGTAGTTAGACCCTCGCTACCAGCTTGCAATATTCCCATTTAAAGTATCTGCAAACTCTCACATTGTTTTTTCTTTTTTGTTTTAGCTAACACCTGTAAACCTGAAGTGATAAGGCTAATAAGGTTTTTTTAAAGAAATGTTTGTAGTTTTATGTTTAACAGTGCCACTGTTTTGTTGTTTAAGGTTTAAGTGTTTATACAGTACTTGTTTAAGGATATAAAAAGCGTAGTTGGGGGATGCTTTTGTCAGAGATGAATACAGGACTCCGTGTATCCAAATGTGTTAAACCGCTAGGTTAAAAGTGTCCGTGTGTTGTGAGTTAAATGTATCATAATATAATGCGTCGTGCTTGAATGTGTTGTGGTATAGTAATGGGATTAAACAGGAGAAAATAATATGTACAAGACAGGTAGTTAGATCCTCAGTACTAGTTTACAGTACTCCTGACTTCTATAAAATATCTCTGGAAGCCCTCACAATTTTTTTTTTTCAAATTAAAAAAAAATTATCCTGTCCAAATTCCTCATTCACAACAGGCAGCATAGGGATTGTGACATGGATGCTGTCAAGAAATCTCCTAGAGCAGTGGTTTTTAAACTATGGTAATCTTGGTACATGGAGCGCGGCCAGGTGGTACGCCATATGACCCTGGAACTTTGTTGTGTGCGCTAAAAAATCGGTATGGGTTTTCATATTTTCTATTTTAATACGTGTCGAATTCGCAGCCTACGTACTACGATACAACACAAGAAATAGTATGTAATGCTATACCATTATATAGGAATGCGTGCTACAAACTTAAGTGACCAATTATATTTAAAAAATGTTATCTCCAGCAAATAGGGATGTAGGAGAATGTGTGTGATTTTGGAACAATACCAATGTTATAAGCACAGGAAAGCATAGAAATGTGTGCTATGAACACTGGCAATCATGTGAGCACAGGAAAGCGTGATAGATAACGGAAAAATATTTAAGAACTGTTAATCTGTTAATTTGAGAAAAATACACTGAGCGTCTCAGTGTTTTGCTCCCATGCGCATGAAACAAAAACTTCTTTTAACTTCTGAGACAGACTCCTGAAACGGAAACGGGGAAAAATCCAAGCTTGCTAAAGCAGGTAAGCCCCACACTATTTTTAAAGAACCTTATTTACCGCTAGGAAAAGAGTTGACACGTATTGTCTGTGGAGAAAAAGCTGCTAAACAGCTCAACCTGGTGACCCCTCTGAAAGACAAAGCCACTCATAGAATTATTAATATGGCGGATGGTATCAAAAGTACGCTGATAGAGCACGTTAAGATGAGCACTGCAATTAGACGAGTCTGTAGATGCCGTTGATTTGGCCAATTTGCTCATTTACGTTAGATACGAGTTTTAGGGTATGTCCCATGAGGACTTTCTGTAAGCTGCTACCAACAAGAACTACAGGAGAGCACATATTTCAGATTCTGGATGAATTTCTCGAAGAGAATGGCATCAAATGTAAAAATGCGTTGGAGTTTGTACAGACGGTGCTAGAGCAATGACAAGCCGACACAGCGGTGTAGTTGCATGAATAAGAGAGGTTGCTCCAGAAATGGACGTATTGCATCATCCACCGCGAGACTTTTGCCGTCAAGAAAATGCCTAACGATTTAAAATCTGTTAGACTCTGTTGTGAATTGTATTAAGATTCAAAAAATGAATTTACATCTGCTTTGCTCGACTGAATAGGCTCACCCCTCTCACTGAAATGGTGCTTTTTATTGTTTATTTTTAATTGATGTTGTTCGTGTTTTTTTTTCTGTAAAGCGCTTTGAGAAGCCACCTTTAAGGTGCTTTATCAAATAAAGTTTATTATAATATTTATTATATGTGTATGTGAGTGCGTGGGCGCACGCGCGCTCATGTTAGTATTTGAGAATTTCTGGGGGTCCTATGAGAAGATGACTTAGGTAGTACTTGGATGCTTTGGTTTTATCAGGGGTGGTACTTGGTCCAAAAAGTTTGAGAACCACTGTCCTAGAGCACCTTTCAGCAAACTACGCCTGCCAGTTTTAACTGGCCCTTGAGGTAAAAAATAAATTAGTCAATATTCGCCATATTCCACTTTGTATGGTGCCGTTTTTTCTTACATTTCATTATTCATGCCGTCAGATGTCACACAAATGTTTTACCACAGTGATTACAAACTGTGCATTGCGCCACCTAGGGGAGGGGCCATTGTCGGTCAGGGGCGTCTGAGGTGTAGCCAGTCAAAAACTTTATTACGAGCAAAACCCACTGTTCGTGCAAAAAGAATGTACGAGTCGCGCACTACCAAGCTAGATTGTGACACATGACACTAGGCAAGAGAGTCGGCAGTCTGTAAAGCAGCATATCAGTTGACCGCGGCTTTGGTGTTTCATGTTTCTATGAGTGGTCATTTTGTGAGTTTTTTGTTACATGATCGCAATTGAGAGGTTTTTAAATATGAGTAAAAACCTTGAAGGTCATGGAGCCTAGTTCTAAAGAGAAATGGAAACGCAAATACAGAAAGTATGACGAATTTTGGTTTCACATGCACAATTGTGGACACTGTAGAATGTCCTCAGTGGGTTGTCTGCCTTAAAGTGTTGGCTACTGAAAGCATGCTCCCCAATAAACTGAAACGTAATTTGGAAACTGTTCACAGTAGTTTGATAAGTAAACCTCATGAGTATTTTTCACACAAGTGTAATGAATGAACAGAAAGCTTCTTTTTCTAACCAAACTACAGTCCCCAGCAATGTTTTTTCATCATACAAAGTAGCATACCGAATAGCACAATGCAAAACAAATGCATACTACTGGAGTACCAAGGAATAAGCAAAAGAGCTCTATGAATTCTGCTTCCCTTTGCAATATCCTGTCTTTGTGAAGCACGGGTTTTCAGCACATGCGGTTATCAAATCCAAGTTCAGATCAAGAGTCAATGTTGAAAAGGAGATGCATGTTGCCATATCAAAAATACTACCCAATATTTTTGGTGAACTACAGTATGTTAACATAATTTATCAAACAAGCCCACCTACCCATTAAGTGGCACAAACAAAAATACATTGTGTTTCTCCACCTTTTAAAAAAAACATTGATGTTAGATTTTTACATTTTTACTAAGTCATTTTATTTGCATTTTACAAAGATGTTGACTATTTTTTTTCAAAATGTTTGCAGATTCAAAAAACTTTTAATAAAATGTTGTCAAGTATTTTTTGTATTTTGATCAAATAAAAACAAAATTGGATCAACGTTAACCCATCATTTCCTTTTCAAATTTATAATTTTTAGTAAAATATCGCACTGCCATAGAACTTATTTTTGACACAGGGGAGGCATGTGGACAATTTGACAGGTCAAGGGAGGCACGGACCGAAACATTTTGGGAAACCCTGCTTTACCAATTTGATTCACCAGTTAGAGTGGGTCCATCGTACTGTGAGGGAACCTCTGCCAAAATGAGTGGATTGAAGAAGCAGAACGTTGACAGTGAATGCAGAGTGTTCCACAAAGAATGGACTGCAAAATACTTTTCACAGAGGTTGGAACAAAAGCTATGTTTAATTTGTAAGGAAAGTGTCGCAGTGTTCAAAGAATACAATCTCAGTTGGCATTTTTCTACCAAACATGCTAACTATGCTAGCAATCTGTCTTGTGGGAAGTGGGCTAATAGAGGTTCCAAACAAGCCGCTAGTTTACAGGTTCAGCAAAATGTATTGTTCCGCCCTTCTTCTATCCAGGAGGCAAGGTCAGCACAACAGCAAGCTACCTGCCTGCATAAAAAATTGCTAAACAAAGCAAGCCGCTTTCTGAAGAGGAGCCTTTGAAGGAGTGTATGATAGAAACTGTAGATATTCTGTGTCCAGAGAGCAAGAATAATTTTGAGAAAATAAATGTATCACACAGAACAGTTACCCATCGGGTCGAGGTAATCGGTGAAGACTTGGCTTGTGGCCCTTGGGACAAAAACATTTGCCCACTGCTGTCCTAGTACCATGTCTGGGAGCAATCATAACCATCATAACCACTGGTTGCCCTTAAGAGTTACATTTTTTCACTTGGTTCCTTCACCTGGAAACTGGCTTATCTCAACATTAAAGAAGGATAACAAGATTGTATTTTTTTAATAGTGGACACTAAATAGAGAGAATGTTATCGTTCATATATTTTGGGTTTATAAAAGTGTTTCTTTAATGAATTCAATGACCATTAATATTTAGAGCGTATATTTCTGAATATTGTTGAGCTTACCACATAAGGTTTTATACTGTATCAGTATTTACTTTAATAATAGTAGAAAATAATAATTGTTGCCGTTATATAATTATTATAATCATTATATTTATACAGTATGTAATATATAATTATTACATTATATAATTATGTATTATTACAAGTGAACATAGTAGACTACCAGCACCCCCCCATCCAGCCAAGGGCAGATTACCCCATCAATTCAGATTCTCCACCAACCCCTGGAGGGGGGCACCACCCAGGAACTGCTGCAACTAAAACCACTAGATCTCATCCTTTACTCACCTCCAGAGGGTATTGTATTGCCATTTCCCACGTGGGGCTACCCATGGAAGCTCACCAACCATCCAAGTTAAGGGGGTTCCCATTCTTAGTGGAGGACTAGACCATCATCTTCATGTGGAGGACTGGATTAAAGATATACAGCACCTATTAGAGACTTCCAGCACTCCAGTACGCCTGCGGTTCTTTACCATAGTTTGTCACCTGGGGGTAGGGCACGAAGACATGTTCTCAACCTACCACTGGTGGAACAACGTGTGGGCAGGGCATGTCATGATTGGAATTTCAATCCCAGAACAGGAAGTGGAGGTGGAAGTCCCCAAGCCAGATCCTATAAATTGCTGTTAACACTGAAAAGGGAAGGTGCAGACCATTCCCTGCCAGATGTGGATCTGACTGAAATAGCAATGCAAGATGAGTAGCAGAGAAGAGAGTTGGAAGAGCTCCTTCGTCCTCACGCAGATGTGTTCTGTAGAAATGACCTGGATCGTGAGTACACTTCTACTATTTAACACAAAAACCCACTTATTAATACTAAGCCACTGGATCCCCCCTGCCCAGTAGCAAGAGATCCACAAGCATCTTCAGGACATAGAAGCAACTAGAGCCATACGACCAAGCAAAAGTCCATATGCCTCCCCAGTGGTTGTGGCACAGAAAGAGGGGTTTATGTTCTCTGTTGATGCATCAACTACTAGCAGTTGAACTCAAACACCATGGGGGATGGCTTTCCAATGCCATGTGTTGAGAAGGCTTTGAAAGCTTTACGCTGGGCAAAATTTGTAGTTCTAAGCCAATGTTATGTATGTGTACAATTATAGTCAGTTTTTATATCCTGCTCCCCTTAGGACACTGTTACGTGGTAATTCTTACTAGATCTCAGGGCCTACGTCTTACCTCAGTCTTTATGTTCCAGTTGGTTTTAACTTCTACATCGAACTTGTGTTTTAATGCAACATGGTCTAATGTTACAGTTCTGTTCTCATTAATATAAACATGATTGACTGTAAGTTTAAACCACCCATCCTAAAACAAGTCAGGTTCAGAGTCAGTTATTGATGTATTTTTTGATCATTCACATTTCTGATGCTGCTAAATAAATACTAGTTCTTTAGTGATTAGTCAAGAATTTTTGAATTTCCAAATTCCAAGTCTTTCTACAGACTGTTCATGCTTCATTTACTTGTATATAATCTTTATGGATTTTTAAAAAATAACAAGCAAATTGAACACCTTTGTTTAACCACAGCCCGGATTGTACAATTTTCTAGCCTTATAATTTTATTATTCTTTAATTTCATACACTGTAAGGATATTTTTAAAATGCATTTATAAATCAGTCCACAGAAATAGCATTCATTCCAGGGTAATGGGCTAAACATTGATAAAATAGTTCCAAAGGCAATATTCTATAAAAGGAGTGAAGGTACAACAGTATTCATAGCTGCAACTATTAATTTATGATTATTAATTATTTAATGATTATTAAATAATCCTGATTTAATTTATGATTAACAAGTACTATTTTGTAGTTATACTTGCTCTATTATAAAATATATAAATTGTTTATGTATATCATTTTATAATACAGTGTGAAACAGAATTATTTGTATTGTTGCATATTTTATACATGCTTATATAACTGTATTTGTATTTTAATGTAAAAGATGACTTTTTATGTTTCACCAACACATTCCCCATACAAGATGGATGTCGAAATACTTCATGTTACCTATTCATCAAGACACAACACATGTAATTAATATGAAATGTCAGCAGATTTGTGTTCATTTTCATATAAGAGATGCACAGGATAAAACATTCCTGTAATTTCATGACCTAGCTTTAGATAGTTGGATCTGGTTTTGTAGAAATATATAATAAAGTTTTTACAGAAAAAAAAACTAAGTTATTTTTAAGTTTATAGAAGCAGCATGTTGATGGATGTTTCATAAAGCAAAAGAATATTGGGAAAGGGTATCTGGACTGCAGGGAAATATCTGGACTACAGGGAAATCAGAGACAACAGCTTCCTAAATGCGCTCAGCCGAGATTGCACAGCAACCAAAAATTATATTTGAAGATCAAAAACAGAAATCAGAATGACCAATCAAAAGTTTTTTGTGAATAAATGTGATGTTTTTCATAGTCATAGACAAGGAGGCATAATTTTTGTCTCGATAGTTTATGTCTGCAATATATATTGAAGAAACAGGATTTACAGTCTGTCACATGTACTGTAAGTGTAAAATATGAAACTTAAATATTATAAAATTAACTGTTATTGAGATTGTTCTTGTTCTTAAAAACACTTCAATTGTACATACAGTATAATTTGACACAAATTTGCATTTAATGTACATTTTCTATATTTCTCATTGATACAATTAATTTTTTCCTAGGAAATTAAACAATATCCAGTATATTTATTTGTCATTTCTCTTCAAAACATTAATGAATGCATCCTTTGGAACTTCCACATTACCAATTTTTCTCATCTTCTTTTTGCCTTCTGCTTGCTTTTTCAGCAGTTTCATTTTGCGTGTTATATCACCTCCATACTAAAAGAACAGAAAGGTTTTAAAAGGCAAAATTAGACCAATGTTACACATTACCAGTATTTACATTTCAAACAACAAACGTTATTTCATACTTACACATTTTGCAAGCACATTCTTCCTATAAGCTTTAATCCTAAAAAAAGAAAAAGGAGGTAATAATTTATTATAAAAATGGATGATCTTAGTGATTAATTTGTCATGCCAAAGACCTAAAATAAAATGTATGTTAAATATGCGCCCAACACATACAGATCCAGCCATTCAGAATGTGCGAGGGATGCTGCAGTAGTTCGAAGTCTTAGTGGCTGCACGAGACCGTAGCATATTAGTAATTTTCAGTAGTGAGTGCGCTACTTTGTAAAACCACCAGGTGGAGCTGTAAAAGCTGATCGTGGCATGTGGAGCAATTGGGCTGTCACCAGAAAACACCCGGTTTCGAATCCCGGTCAATGCTGAGGAACAATCTTTTTTCAATTATGGAACTTAAATTGTACACTGTTTAGACCTTTATTAATTTTATACTGAAACTTGTGAATGTGATGTGCCTCTTTCACATTTACATCCACATAGAGAAAATACAAAGGTAAATAACAGTAATGTAATGTAATACATACCTAATGTACACACTGTAGATGGTAGTGATAGCTAAATACGAGAATGTACTCAACAGTATTCCACCTTCTTCATAAATATTTTATCCATCATGGTGACTTACGGTGCATTATGGTTTTAAAAAATACCACTAGCAAAATAATAGTATCCGGAATTTCCGCAAGGTGGAGCTAATAAAGCTCAACCTCTCATGTTTGAGCTGTCGCCATCAAAGTCT